TACCTTATTCCGTGCGGTTGTGCAGAGCATAAGCAAAATGCTTTTTACTGCATTACCAAACTGTTCATTGTTATGTGTAATTCCAAACAAAGACGGCTACAGAAATACTTTGAAAGTAAGATAAAATACTTCTATAAGTATGCAGTAATACTTCATGCAATAACACTTACTTTTCAAACCGGAACACAACAGTAGATGTACTGTTACTTGGGGGCTTTTGGTAGGACGGTATCAAGCCAGACGGACTCCTAGGTAGAAAAGCTACACAATTCTATAGCTTTTTTAGGGCTCATAAAGAATATTTAATTGACACGAGTGTTAACTACCCTATTATAATACCGTTACAGCTTTTTTTACATGATGGGGTGACAAACGAGCACACAGTCCATCTGGTGTTAAGTGGTTGCTGTGGCCCATAGAAATCTACATCTATCCCCGATTACAAATAAAAATGCAGATGCGTTGTCACCCGTAAGGACTAAGATGGAATGCCCCGTTTCCAGTAAAAAGGGTCTCCGGTTCTCTACATTCATCATACGAAACACACCAGCATTAAGCTATTACTTTACGCTGGTATTCTGTGAGAGCGTGGTCCTTCCCCGGTCGAGCCGACCCATTCGTGCTACAACTATACTACTAATACATATAATTTCAGCATGGCTCTACCACCTATAAAATATTAAAGTCCGTTTCTGAACATAGGCCTCCCCTAAAAATTGCCTCATGGGGGAGATATTTGTCATGGTTGAAACGCTTGGCCAGCGGTTTGACAGCCGCAGTTTTTTTAGTTTTAGTCGTTATTAGGAAGGCGCTACTGCTCATCTCGTGGTTTGTTTCCCTCTGCCGCCTCTTATGATACCCACAGGATGATGAGGGGTAGTATAATAGTGTCCTAAAATTTATACTTGGGACCGGGCCACCCTACTTCGACAGTGTTGATGCCCGGCAATGCCGGCAGTGAAAGTCGAAAGGCGAATACATTTCTTTTGTTGCACCCGTTTTTGTGACAATTTAACGCAGTATCAAGAAAGTACAATAAATTGTGAACATTTTTTGGAAAGTGAAATTGATAAAATTACGTGTTGCGTTTAAACAAGATTGGTTTCGACACACGCTCTTTAGGGTTTCACTATCATAAAACGTTATCATTTTATTACGTCTGTCTTACGTCATCTATTTTGCTTAACTAAGTAGAGATCGTTTAATATAAAATTGCACACGCCGTTATATTTTTGGTAAATTATATCACACAAAACTGCTAAAACCTACTAAAATAGTAAGCGCATTGATTAAAATTTTTGTGATGGTATATCTGACAAAATCATCCAAAATCTAAAGTTCCTGGATTAGTTTTGAATTACACGATTTGTTTGGACAAATTAATATTTATAAAGATTTTCCAGTGGCGGCTCGTACAGCATCAACATAACCAAATTGCAGGGCGACCCTCCACTAGATACAGTGACAACCTGGTAAGACATGCAGGAAGTTGATGGATGCAGGTGGCTTAGGTCAAGCTCAATGTCATTCTTATGAGGCGGATAATAATAATAATAATAATGATATTATTTTATGTACTTACAGCCCTATCATACTCCTTAATAGCCGCATTTCTACAGCATTTATTTTACCCTCGTACTTCTGCCACAATCAACTTTCACTACTATGCAATAAATAGGGACGAACACAGCATTATGAATTGCCATACGTGCCTTTTTTGACACATTCTGACTTTTCATAAGAGAGTATAGAGCCCCAAACTAATGTTACTACTTATGTATTCTGACTGAATTCAATCGACAAAGTCGACCAAAGTTTTGAACGTGATAGAGCCACGCTACAGCTATATTAGGGTTGTAGCATGAATAAGTCGGCTCGACCGGGGTAAGACCACGCTCTAACAGAAACCAGCGTGAAATAACAGCTTACAGTTTCGTATGAAACCAAATAAACAGACGATGTCTTTTGTCTTTTGTCTCTATAAATGTTCCCTCGGTTTTAAAGCCGGTGTGACATTGGTCCCTTGGGAGAGAGGTAAAGTCCTAGTGTGGGATTCTACTTGCGTAGACACTTTGTCAGTCTCTCGTCTCATGGTTAACTCATTTATAACCGGGGCCGCATCAGAGGCAGCTGAACTAAGTGGCGCAAATATGAGTCTCTAAGAGGTGACTACATATTTGTGTTATTTGCTGTAGAAACTATCAGACCGTGGGGTCCACGTGCGGTGAAGATCCTAAAGAAACTGTATCGGCAACTGATCGTCGCTGTTGGTGCTAAAAGGGCAGGTTTTTTTTTCTCGCTTAAAGGTTAAGTACCTACTGCCACCCAGCGTGGAAACGCAACCAGCGTTCTTGGCACGATACTATGGGGAGTACGCCTGTATGATAATTTAAGTTTTTATTTTAGTTTATTTATTATAGTTTTAATTTTATTTTAACTAAATACAACTACCCCTAAATGGGAGTTAGAATCGAACGACATATTAACGACATTTTAATAAGATAACTAGTAAATCGTATACCTATAATTTACCGTGTGGTGTGGTCATAGATTTAGTATAAACTTTTCTTCTCATATAAAAACGTACGCGGAGTTTTCATAACATAACATAACATAAACACTCACGCCTGTCACCCAGGGGGGTAGGCAGAGACTACAGACTTCCATTTGGCACGATCCTGACACACCTCTCTCGCCTCCTTCACATCCATACACCTACGCATACATGCTCGAATTTGGCCCGTTTTCAATAAATCGCCAATTTGGTCGATAAATTTTCGCCTAGGACGTCCCTTTCCGACTCTGCCATTCACGTCTGCAACATAAATTTTCTTTGTCACTCTTTCCTCATTCATTCTTTCCACATGACCAAACCACCGAAGCATTCCTTTCTTAATCCTGGTCACAACATCATCTTGTAAACCACACTCTTCTCTTATTACACAAAAGTGTAATAAGAGAAGAGTTTTCCTCCGAATAGTTTACCACCGGCGATTTTTCCGGACCGATACGACCTGAGGGCCTTCAAGAAAAGAGCTTGCTTCTTCGTAAGAGGCCGGCAACGCACCTGCAATTCTCCTGGTGTTGCGGTTGATGATGGGCGGCGGTAGTCACTTAACATCTGGTGAGCCGCATGCTCGTTTGCCCCTCTCTTATACTTATAAAAAAAACTAAAATTAGGACGTGATACCTTTCTTGTTCATCCGTACCTTATTACGTCACAATTAAATACGTTAACCGTTATCGTAAAAGAGGAATTTCTACTTTACCCAAAATAAATAAACATTTTACCTTACTAACATTTGCATATGGAATTAACACAACGCTAATGGATACACTCGCTTTAGTCTGACGCGAGTATACTCGCGAATATAACTCTCCAGTGTAAACTCCAAGTCACCTAATCCATGGAAAAGTTATGTAACATTGTTTATAAAGAATTGGTAATGGCATTTTATCCACAGTTCCGCGTCCGAGTAGAATAAGGAACGGGAACATTGAATTAGTAATCTACGGACTAGAAGGTGCATAGAGAGGTATAAGCACTGTTTTCATCAATGGGTTCCTATTATGAAAGCTATAACATTTAAATAAATAAAACTGCGAATTTTTCACCGTATTCATTATCAACAACGGTGATGTTCAGCTAGTGTTTAAAGCTACTAGCTTTTTGCTATAACTTGGGTAGAATTTGGTGTTACATTTACTTTTGTTGTTACAAATTTATTTTACTGCTTAGCAATGTATACATTTTGTAACATAATTTAAGTTTTAGCTTGAATTCTAATCGGCTTTTAATTTATAAGAGATTAAATCCGTAAAAGTAATTAAAATTAAATTGGGTTTTTATATGAATTGATTAGAAAAGCAATCGTAGCAATTATTTTACTTTTTTTATAGGATAGGGTGACAAACGAGCACACAGTCCACCTGATGTTAAGTGGTTGCTGGGGCCCACAGACATGTGCATTTATTCTCGATTAAGAATCAAAATGCAGATGCGTTGTCATCCCTGAGGACTAAGAGGAAATGCCTCGTATCCATTATAAAGGGTCTCCGAATCTCTACACTCACCATACGCAGCACAGCAGCATTAAGCTACTATTTTACGCTGGTATTCTGTGAGAACGTGGCCCTTCCCTGGTAGTGCCGACCCATTCGTGCTACAACTATACTAATAATATAGCAGCATGACTTTACCACGTATAAATTTAAAATTGGCGCAGTAGTAGAACTTTACAATAGACGTGTCGAGGAATAGTTATGTTTTTAAGTACTTGCCTTGCCTAATATAGATCGTTTATATTTCAAAAATACCTTGTTTTACATAATTAAGTTTGACTTAGCTTCAATTCTAATTGGCTTTTATTTTAAGCGCGCTTAAATTCGTCAAATTAGTTTTATACAATGCATCTAATCGGCTTTATACAAATTGAACAGAAGCAATCGTAGCAATTATTTTACTATAATTTTGTTCAGTTAGAACTTTACAATTTACGAGTCGAAAAACGATTTAGTTAGTATCTGGTATATATGTAACAGTTATATTTTAATGACTTGCCTTAATTGCTTATTATAACTGTGCACACGGCAAACGGAGTGACTGCCTCGTTGGTCTCGTGATCATAAACGCGATTGCAAAACATGTGGTTGAGGTTGTATGACGTATGATCCCGGGTCGGGCCAAAATCAGTTATTGGATTTTTCTGCTAAGAAATTCTCACTAGCAGCTCGGAGTCAGGAAGTTGGCGGTGTTTCACCCCCGTCCCTCTGAAAGCACGTAAAGCCGGTTCTGCGCCTAATCTCTCTCCGATCGTATCGGACTACCATCTTCACCATACTATCTGTGTGAGGGAATATAGTGAATGTGTACTTGCGCATACACTCGGGCAATATAATCTTGTCCTGCGCAGATGGCTAGTCTCCGTTGAGGCAGGCCGCCAAGACCAAAATAGATCTGGAGAACATTATTTTAATAACTGTTCACAATTCAAGCATACCTCCTGATCTAAGGACAGTTCATCATCTTCGTCGACTCCTGCATCAGGCACGCCGTCATCGCTCTCTTCGGAGGCCAACACATTGGCTAGCAGCACTACTCCAAATAATAGACTCCACCTGAAAGGAATGCATTACACATATTAAATAAAATAGTAACAATAATAAACTAACTTCGAAGAATAGTGGCTCAGGGCTAAGTTCATTAACAAGTGATCCGCCGATCATCGATGAAGGAAAACATCGTGAAAAAACCTGTCTGAGAAATAAAATAATCCTCTCAGAAATTAAATGAATGAATAAAGAATGGCATATTCATCTAACTTTTGTAATGTAACTTCATATTCTAATTGAAAACCGTTAAAACTTTTATGGATCCTTTGTAAATTTTTTTTCAATTTAAATTGTGGTAATTGGCCGGATATATATCTTGAAGAACTGACACCCAATGAGAAAGTGTGTTTGTCGAGTGGCATCCTTGTACCGGTATGCGGAGTTTAAGGAAGATCGAGAAGAGAAGAATGATGCAGGTGGCATTTGCGTAAGAAATATGGTAAAATCATTCACATCTCTATGAGGCAATCTACTGCGAGGCCTATGTTTACGGGGGGACTTTTATAGGCTGTAATGGATGGTTGAGCAGAGAAATGTTGCGGCGCTGTCGTCACGCCACAAGCGAAACGCATCAAAGTCTAAATCGCGCTATCAAAGTTCCAAAGTAAAACAGTATATGTAGAATAGTTGCAAGATACCACTTGCAGTATCGACCGACACGAGCTGAGCAGTCAAAGGCGGGGGTCCGCACCCCCCCCCTCGGACAGCGGTTAGATAGCTCAATAAAGTCTAAAAAGGCAACATGATGATTGGTAACAATACCAAACCATAAACCATTTCATCTACATCATCACGTTCATTGCCTTTCCTTTTTTTAATTAGCTCGCGCAGGCCGCGAGCCCTGAGTCAGATGAAGCTGTAAGAGTCGCATAGACTAGCAGCGAAAACATCCCGAAAATAGATAGATAGATAGATACCACTTGCTTTTGGCCATTGGCCGCTTCCCAGGCTAAACACCTTTCCCGGCAGGAGATCTCCCCTTTTCTTTCCACGGCCAAGGATTGAATAGGACTCGACAAGATTCCGATACTTATATTACTTTTTTTAGAATAAGGGTGTCAAACGAGTACACACATCTTATAGCGCAACATTACGCTATATAGAGTAACTTTACGCTGGTATTATCTGAAAGCCTGGTCCTTCCACGGTCGCGTCAACCCATTCCTGCTGTAATCATAATATATTAGCTCTACCACGTTTTTTTATAGGATAGGGTGACAAACAAGCACACAGTCCACCTGATGGTAAGTGGTTGCTGTGGCCCATAGACATCTACATCTATCCTCGATTACAAACCAAAATGCAGATGCGTTGTCACCCGTTAGGACCGAGATGGAATTCCTCGTTTCCAGTAAAAATAAGGGTTTCCGATTCTCTACACTCACCATACGAAACACAGCAGCATTAAGCTACTATTTTACGCTGGTATTCTGTGAGAGCGTAGCCCTTCCCCGGCGAGCCGGCCCATTTTTGCTACAACTATACTACTAATATAACCGCAGCATGGCTCTACCACGTATATGAACCTATATAGAGTTGTATATTTATTCTTTAATTTTATATGAATGCGTATACAATTGTTTGACGAATGGGTCTCTGTCTCTGGTGACAGTATAACATACATCTGTTAAGGGTTGCAGCATTGCCAGTGCGAGGGTATCAGCTCTCAGTTCATCAACCTGTTTGCCCAGCGTGTTGAGTATGGGAAAGTTTTCCACGTAATGATTGACGATTACCGCATTCTTGCCAGGAACGAAGACACGAGATCTTATAAATGCTGTTGAACTGTGATGTGTACTTTCTGCTTAAGCAAGCTTGTAAGAAGTACATATATTAATTACACTTTATTTGAGAAAAGGCAAATCCCATCTTCTTGAAGATTTGTTATCTTTTCTGATTTGTTTACTTCATTTAATGTCAAGTATAAATATGTATTTAGATTATAGACATAGTTTTAAAATTTTAACTAGTTACGTATTATTTACCGTTATGTTGATTAACAAAGATTGGTAATTATTCTATAATAATTATAATAAGACGAAGAAAATATAGTTTAAGTGAACTAACTGTAAGGAAAAATGGCGGCAGCGTTCCCCTCACAGTGTATCGAGCTATCGATTCATTTGCAACATTCATTTAGCAACTGCGTAGTACCTAGATTTTATGGTGGCAGAATCAGAAGTCTACGTGCAGACATTCACTCGTACCTACCCTTGCTCGAAGTAGCACTTGTTGAATAATGTCGGAGGCGGGGGTAGGCTAAGATTAATATTTCAGAGATACGTTGCATGTAGATCGCAACCACAGTCAAAATCCAAAAAATTTGTTTTTTTGAACAAAAATGTTTGGATTTAACTCAGTACACGCGATCTATTAGAACTTTCACCACTGGGCCATGAGGTCGTCATTGTCAGGTTTTGAATAATGAAGGGTTATTAAAATATCGTAATGTTTGAAATGAGGTAGGTAATCAATCTGTCAAAATGTCTATATTGTCTTGTTTTCTCGGATAGATTATCACTTTTGTTTGTAATCCTATGTTTCTCGATATTAGTCAGTAATCCCACGCTAAGTTAAACATAACACAAATACAATATTACCATACGGTCAATCAGCGTCGGATTTAACTTTTTGGTGCCCTAAATTTTTATAGCCTTAGATCAATTTTTTGCGTAAAATAGTAAAATTTTTTAAGATATACTATTATTAATTATTAATTTAATAATTTTTAAGATATATTTAGTGGTTGTAATATTGTTTCCTTGACTTATTGATAGCAAAAATCTCTGATAATATCGTCAAAATTGATTGCATGTAGCAAATCATTTCATCAATTGTAAATGAAATTTCATTACTTATAATATAAACATTGAGAATATTGACATCATTTACAAATATACGGATCGCTAATTTTGCAAAAAAAGTCGATTTTTTTCCATTTTGAATTATGTTTCACAATAAATCGAACGAGAACGAGAGATTCATTTCTATTTTGATTGACTAGTAACATGCATTTGTTTCTCCTTTCTGCGATGATGCCCTAAGTTAGTGTCTTATTATAAATCTATCAATACGCGTTCAACTTTTTCTGTGGTTTAAGAAGAGTCTAACTAAAAGTTCATTCATTACGCACGACGATGCGATATGCCAAACTTTACATTTTAATTCGTAGTTACTCGTCGTATTCGTAGTCGTCTTATAAACTACTTTTTAAATAAAGCCTTATGTTAGGTTTTTAATAAGAATTTGTTGTATTGTGTCAGTTTTATAGTTCAACCAATAACGTCGTATCTCCCAATATGTGTATAACACGACTAAGATCACTAGTTAAATATTTTACGTGTTTGCCACCAACATGATTGCATGTCACAGTTATTACATAACGGCGGTATTTTCTCCAAAATGGACGTTACACCTCATATACAGGGCTGTTACGTAAAAACTGTCTTGCGGTCAGCATTGCTATACTGATTCATTTTAACGATTGAGGAACTCGTTCTGTTATGTTATACTTATTGGCTTGAGGGAGTGGACGGTTTACATTTTGGGTAGGTCTTTCTACTTTTACAGCAAAAAAGTGGCTGACCACTATACGTATACGTAATTACACATGTGTAATTATTAGTTAAGTAGGTGATAGTTTAAATTAAATTCAATTTCATCATTATCAATCTTCGATCACTGTAACTTACTTCGGTGAACTACTTCTGCTACATTGAATTTATTTCATATTAAACTATACTGACAAACTAAAACTATCTAGGACTTCACCACTTGAACTGCATCAGGTGTGATCATGGTCAAACGTAATCAACGCTTGTTATCGATTAAAAAAATATTAATTAAACATTATTACTAATCAGAGTTTTCACAAAAGATCTTAAAACATTGGTAATATGGACAAGATGATAGTGTTATACATATTTATTGCTTTGTGTTTATTCTTGCAGGAGGCCGATGTTTAGCAATGGACTTATTTTTAACCGTAATGATGATGTTGATAACAGTGCTTCATGCAAAGGTTGTCTTAAAAATAAAAAAAAAACTCAGATTATGTAACAGTATGTATATATTACCAAAAGGATTATTTTTTATAACGGATGTTCCGAAAGTGTCTTAAAATAAAAATTATTATTTATTCTTAAGATAGAGTCACAATACAAGAAAGAATTTATTTAATATTAGTATTAAAGATTGGGTGTGTCGAGTGAGATTTTGTACAGATGTGGGCCGTAATATTAAGACGTGTTACATTATCGTAGTAGGTATTAAAGTGAGTAAGCAAACGCTAGGAACATAGGCATGGCCGCCACAATTCAACCATTCGATGCTCTTAATTAAACCTAGATGAAAGTTGTTATAAAACGCTTAATTTGTAACACTACTGTGGTGTAACAGGACGTGGTATTACGTGTTAAGTGATGTTTGTTCTTGGTGAGTTAAATATTCCAGAAAAAATATCACATAGGTACTTAAAACACGTTTTATACGCGGTAGAGCCATACTGCAACTTTAATACTGTTGTAGCACGAATGGGTTGAGTCAACCGGGGAAGAACCATGCATTCACAGAATATCGGCGTGAAATAGCGTCGTTTCCTGATCGAGCAGACCCATTCATGATCCAACAATAATATAGCTGCAGCGCGTGGCTTTACCACTTTTACCACTAGTTCGTAAAGACCTCTGTCGTAGGAAAAACCAGCAAGAAACCCGGCAGGACTTTTTTAAATTATAAAATATAATAATATATTGTGCAATGAAATATGAAAACATTTAGAAATAGCATAGTAGCGATAACCTAATACCTAAATAAGCATTTTAAACTTTTAGATAAATAGCCGTCATCATTGATTGCCGTCATATTTTCTGGAACTTTGTTGTAAAAGCGTATATACATTACTCCATAAAGAAATTCGCTTGTGCTTGTTCCTACTTTGTACAGTTGTACGTTATTATTTTTAATAAAACTATTTTTGTGTTTGTGAACATACGTTAAATTTTCGT